TGCTAGAGGTAAACAGTTTTGCCATACGCCACAATTTAAAACTCAATGCTTCTAAATCAAAAGCTTTAATTTTGGGATCTAATTTCAAACTTAGGAGGAATATTGAGCGTAGTTTGAATATCCGTATAAACAATGAGATAGTCCCCATTGTTCACGAAGCAAAGAATCTAGGCGTAATCTTCGATAATGCATTATCATTTGAACCACACATAAAGAAAAAATTGACGGCAGCGTACATACGATTAAGAAATATCTCCAAACTAAAAAAATGTTTACTGCCTAAGCAAAAGTATTTCCTTTGTCAGAATCTCATACTGTCGCTTTTTAACTATGGAGATATAGTTTATGGGAGCTCGTTGGCGTATACTACTAAAAATGCGATACAAAAATTGCAGAACGCCTGCATGCGATTTTCATTCAACATACCTTATCGTAACCACATAACACCTTACCTAAACAATTTGTCTATACTAAATATGCTAAATCGCAGAAAACATAATTTATTCAATTTCATCTATAGAATAATAAAATCGGGAAAACCTCCGTATTTGAAAAATGAGGTTTTAACTTTTAATCATTATTACGGGACAAGACATAACCAACATTTTTGTATTATCCCTCGGCATAGGTCTGCAGCATTATTAAGTTTATCTGAAGATCCTGAAATATCTCACCCATTTAATTTTTAGTTTGGCGTACTGCATTTCCAGTTAACACACTTTCCAATCGAGTGCAAGCCTTTGGGATTCGTCAAGATTGAGAGAAAGCTATTAACATCAGTAAGTACTAATGCCCTTTCCAAAACAGTAGTAAAGTAAACACTATAAGTTCTGGTACACTTTAAAATATACGTAATTCCAATCAGCTTTTCCAAGCTGTTGGAAAACTCTCGCAAATGATGGGTAACCTATATACTCAGCTCCTGACCCCTAGCAGATACCACTGAACGCTGTTGATAGCTCAATGGCAATAGTATCGCAAAATTGCCTAGTTTGACTGAAATATATCGACAGTTCGATTCTTATTGGTGAATTCAAATCTCTTGGCTAACAGATTAAGCGTACGAGAGTGAACGAGCATCCAGATCGCAATTCCCTTGGCACTCACGAATAGTGTACAGATGGCCAGCTTGAATGGACTAGGCAAACATATATCAGGATGCAAATCGAAGTAGCTATCTTTGCTTTCGGAGACGTGAGAGGGAGTTTTATATTATGCCTAATGAGGTTCTAATCAGCATCTCGAGACTATAAATTGAGTTCCTGATCAAGTTGAGCAACCTAATTGGTGTCGGGTGGCGTGGTCTGCCATCTTACTGTAGGGTTTTGGCGATGCTCTCACCAAAAGGGCAGTTCGAGCAGCTAGGGCATCTAGCGAATATTTAATCCTGCGGGGGCGCTAGAAGGCGCCGTAGCAAAATTAGGGTGGGTGTTACCCTCAAAACCATCTCAGGCATTCCCATGCAGACTCCTAAGTCAGGTTTATAAAGCTATTATTTATTATTGGTACATTTTATTGGCTGGTGAAATTTTCGGCGTAGATGGTGATTCGGTATCTTGGTACTTTTACGCCCTAACGTTCGCCAAATTGTCCTTGTGAATTTGAAGGGAGTTTTCCGTAAAAAAGCAAAAAGAATTATGTGTTCATTAATAAACAAAACTCTTGGATGAATGAGGGAAGCCTTCAAACGTTCTGTGTCCGTCAAACAACAAATATGTTGTATTTAGAGCGGACAGAAATTTCTCTGCGATGGGGTGTTCTAGAGGAGGTGGTGTCTTAATTGGTATTCGTAATCAACTTGCTGCATCAGAGGTAAATATGACTTTTATCAGAGACGATATTCCCAGTATTAACATAATTGGAATCAAACTTAGATATAAAAATGAAGTGACTTATTTCTTTGTGATATACATACCGCCTGACACGAGTACTTCCTGCTATGAAAGATTCTTTGAACATCTAGAATCGCTTGATTACCTCTTTGGCAAAAGTATTTATATATTAGGTGACTCAAATGTTCCCGAATTTGTTAATGAAAATCACCTCCAATCTTCTCACAAGCAGAAAACAATTCAGTCATTTATGGGTTTCTTCGATCTTTCTCAATTCAATGGTGTTCGGAATGAAAATAATAGGCTTTTAGATTTAGTGTTATCAAATAAACAATGTAGCGTCGTTAAGGCTTATGATGACCTACTACCTGAGGATGTTCACCATCCTCCGCTTGTCATGATATTCAACATGATCTTCCATTCTAAAAAGAGTATCAAATGCGCCAGGGAATCATATAATTACAGAAAAGCCAATTTTGTAGCACTATATGAACAAATAAGCTTGGTTAATTGGACGTTTATTGACAATTTAACAGATGTAAACGTAGCTTTGGAAACATTTTATAACATTCTTCGTAAAATTTTTAATATGTGTGTCCCTAGGACAAGTCTCAGATCTCTCAAATTTCCAGTTTGGTTTAACGTTGAAATGATTAGAGACATTAAAAGAAAAAATCTGCTACACAAAAAATTTAAAAAGGATAAAAGTTTGATCACATACACTGAGTTCAAAGACTTAAGGACCAAAATTAAGCGCGATGAGCCTATCTCAGGATCCGAACAATTTCTGGTCATTTATCTGTAATAGAAGGGGACAAAATTCCACAATCAGCCAAGTAAACTCTAATGGTAAGCGGTATGATAAACCCAATGAAATTGCAAATGCTTTTGCGCTATTTTTTCAATCTGTATATACTATGCCCTCGAACGCAACTGATATCAATATTTCGGACTTGCATACTAACATAATACTTCAGAGCTTTTCCGAAGAAGAAGTTTTTACAGTGTTAAAGCAAATGAAAAATAAATTTACCTCCGGACCCGAAGGAATCCCATCATTTTTAGTGCGTGACTGTGCCTACGTCTTAGCTCATCCCTTGACAAAGATCTTCAACCTATGTTTAACGACTGACACGTTTCCTGAAATTTGGGGCGAATCAAAGGTACGTCCCATTTTCAAGAAGGGTGATAGACTACAGGTTGAAAATTATAGACCGATAACCCTAGTATGTATCTTTTCCAAGGCCTTAGAAACTTTGCTTCATAATAACCTATACCACAATACACATTCCCAAATAAGTACTTCTCAGCATGGCTGTATGAAGGGTAGATCAACCATAACTAACCTAGCCTGTTTTACTCAGTCAGTCTCCTCTGCATTAGATGCTAATAGCCAGGTGGATGTAATTTATACAGATTTTAGTAAAACATTTGACAAACTTGATCACAGTATTCTGTTAACGAAGCTGAGCTATTTTGGATTCTCCCCCAAGCTGTTATCCTTTCTTAAGTCATATATATAAGGAAGACAGCAATATGTTGAATATGAGCGTGTCAAATCCATTGAATTCTTCCTAACTTCAGGGGTACCTCAAGGCTCCTGCTTAGGTCCTTTGCTTTTCATACTGTTCATAAACGATATTGTTAGCGACATCGGCAGCAGTCACTTAATCTATGCTGATGATCTGAAATTTTTTTCCAATGTCGACTGCAGCACTGACTGTGCTCACTTACAAAAAGACCTAGCCAAAATAGTTAAATGGTGTGCTGTAAATCGACTTCCAATTAACTACAGTAAATGTAGCGTTATGTCTTACACCAGAATGCTAGATATTATTGCATTTGACTACAGAATTGGCAATCATTCTCTGCTGAGAGTACAAGAATGCAAGGACCTGAGTGTGATTTGTCACTTAGCTTCAATCCGCATATTGAGTACCTTATTAATGCTGTCAACAGATTATTAGGATTTGTAATACGAAACTCAAAGGAATTAAGTAACAAATATGCCATGATTATGCTTTATAATTCATTCATACTGTCTAAATCAGAATATGGACGGCTAATATGGAATCGATGCTATGTTACAACTTGTGGCTCTCTGGAGAAGATTCAGCGGAAATTTCTGAAATTTCTTTCATTCAAAATTGACCGTACGTACTCACCCATTGGGGTCCCACAGGAAGACCTGTTACGTAAGCACAAGTTTATCAGTCTTGATAACAGAAGAAAGATTCACTCGCTAATATTCCTGCATAAAGTAGTGCATTGCAGTTCTGATTGTCCATCATTTCTAGCACAGATTAAATTTAATGCTCCAAAATTTGTTACTCGCAATACACTCACTTTTTACCTACCTACCCCACGAACTAACTTACTGTTGCACTCACCTTTGTACTCGATGTGTTCATGTTATAATAGTCTACAGAGTACATTTGATTTGTTCAACACAAGTATTTCGAATATTAAGAGGGTTTGCAGTAAAATGATTTAGTTTTTAGTTTTTGTTGTATTTTTATATATTTTTTTACTATTTCTATTGTTGTTTTGCCACCAGTAATTGGTTAACACTGTTGGTGGTGGATTTCAATAAATAAATAACAGTAAAACAAGTGATCTTAGTAGGCTACGTTAACAAAATATTAAGGTGGTATCTCAAACTGTTTTGAAGTTATGTGCTTTTCGCTTATCGTGTGACAAGATTTCTATCAGACTTCAAACTGATAGATTCCCCACTGCATTCGCCAATCTTGAACCCCAGTAATTTCATAGTATTTCCAAAATTAAGACATTGACGAGAAAAAGAGCTTTAACTAAGAAACAGGCCATATGTTTGGTAGAGAAGTGTGTTGTTGGAGCTACATCTAAACAATACCATTAATCTTAGAAGTGACATAAATTAAATGTAGCCCTATTGCAAGGAGGTCAAGGTTGGAGCATAGGGATCAAGCCCAGTAATTCGATTTTTTTCAGGTCACCGGATTCGTTTTGACTTACCTGATCATACTTTACCAGTTTAGTAATGCCGTACCATAGCGAAATGAGTAACAATATCAGATTGTCAAGAGAATTTTGAAATTAGTCTCGGACATTTCGACTGATGTAGATGGATACTTATATACTATAGCTAAGATACATTGTATGTTTGTTGTGTAAAAAATATCAATTTCAAATAAAATATTTATTTGCAAAAATGTCTACAAGAGAAATACAGTCAGGGTATTCATTTGCACAGACCTTGCCTTCTATTCCAGTTCTTTCGGCTAGTAAAAGTTTGTAGTATAATTTCTTCTTCGACCCTTCTCTATACGTATCCTCCATCGCTTCAAGAGATGGACTAAAAGAAACGGATTCAATCTAGCTTGACCATAAAAAGGAAGGAATTAAAGAGTACATTAAGTATTTCGGACTTTGATTTTAAATAAATGGAAAAGAATGGAACAATACCGTTCTTGTTATACAATTATGTCAGAATGTACAATGTATGGGAGTGATTAATATTCTCCAAATGGCACATTCTTGGACTAAACGCAACACAGTGGAAGCTATTGTTTACCACTCAGTCAAAAAAAAGGAGTCAAAAATAACTATTGGAAACCGGAAACGTGCAGGTATATATACAGGTATATATCCTTTGATTTCTTTGGGTAGAAGGTAAAGTATTGCAAAAGTACACTCTTATAACTTAAACTCTCAAGCTTTCGAAGATCTATGTCTTCATCGTCTGGAGTAAGTCGGCGAGATTGTTGCTGAAATTGTTTTTCAAACAACAGTGAAAGGAACACATAGTCGACGAATAAACGAGTTTAACTTATAAGAGTTTACTTTTGCAATACTTTGCCTTCTACCCAAAGAAATTAAAGGATATCTTATCCTAACAGTTAAGGCAATTAACTATGAATATATATATATAACAAAGATAGGAAAATAATGGGCAAAATCCGCAAAAAGTGGAATTCGAGCTGAAAATAGGATAGGTAACCCGAGCGATACGTATTTCTGCTGGTTGGCTTCATCAGGTCCGAAATGAATGCACATATGCAACTACAAAAGTAGATACACATGCCCATACATCCGGATACGGGTGTAACCTGAGGAAACGAAGATGGAGAGAAAAAAAGACACCCGAAGTCCACAACAAGGGCCAACCTACATATTGTGGTATAAAATGGCTAGAAGACCTCGAATTTTCAAGGCGACAAATAACCACAACCACGCGGCCGGTTATAGCGACTTGCTGTGGTACTTAAAGCCCAAAGCATCTACAAAGAGAAATGTGTCTTTTTTTCCTCTCCATCTTCGTTTCTTCAGGTTACACCCGTATCCGGATGTATGGGCATGTGTATCAACTTTTGTAGTTGCATATGTGCATTCATTTCGAGCCTGATGAAGCCAACCAGCAGAAATACGTATCGCTTGGGTTACCTATTCTATTTTCTGCTCGAATTCCACTTTATATACATATATAATGGATTCAAACCCCACTCACGCCGCGTCAAATCAAGCAACAGCTCGCGACGTTTAAATTCGAGTGGTCATGTTTGTTTTGATGAGGTGATTTGAATAGATTATAGTGCGCCATCCGTAAAGTATAAAGTCTTCAATTTTGCATGTTAAAAGCGCTGACAGCTCAAAGATAAATATGAAATGGTTCTATGATAGTGATTGGTTCTTAGAGCGAACAAGATATCCCACCTACTGCTTAGTTCATTTGCATACGGTGCTTTTCGAAAAGGTCCCTCCCCTACACATTTTTTGAACGGATCAAAGCTGCGTTCTCAAATTATTACAGAGTGTACTTTGTACTACCCTGTAACAATTGTAGCGTTCGTATTTGTTTGACGTACCTGTTCCATGCGTTCGGAATTAGATCAAGGTAATCCTTGTGGAACGTCAAAAGTGCACTTTACTTCCCCAGTCTAAAACCTTACGGGATAAGAGTGATGGCATCTATCATTTCCTTGGTTCATTGTTTGTTTATTTTATTTGGATTAGCGTTTCTTATAACAAATAAAATGGCCCCAGAAATCGCGGTTAGAAATTGGTCGGCTGTCATCAAGTGTCATTATATATCTCTCTGTAATAATTTTGACGTTCTAGAAATAAGGTTTCACAGTATTCCAGTATTTACTGTGTACGGTATTACATGACCAAGTGATTTACAAACGCACCCCAAGCTAAAATTTGGGGTGATAGAATTTCATGAATATTTTGCGTCAAAGTGAGAACTGAAAATTTAAAGATGACGGGAGGGCGCCATCTTGGAACATTTTTTTAAATAGAATTGGGCGTCGTGTCATATCTCATGTAGACGTCTCTCAAAAATACCTGATAATCTTAGAATTGAAAATCAGTATCTTCCAAATTGGCGGACTGGATTATAACTCAACAACCAATTATTATCAAAAATATATAGTATATTGATATTTTTTGTACTAAGCATCTGCCCTGGCGGGCAATGTAACGTGAGGCATAATACTTAAAAAGTAATGACACTATCTGTCAGTTTTTCCTCAGGTGAATGTCCCATACTTTATTACATAATTACCCTCCTAAAAGAAGAAGGCTGATATTGACATCCTATAAAGTTTTAACGATTAGTTGTTGAGTTATAAGCGATTCAAAAATGCACTTCGGCAGCCAGTCCGCCATATTGAAGGATAGGAAATTGAAACTGCGGAGTTTTAAAGTACTTAGATATAGTATTACTTGACCTACCACTTCATTTGAAAAAATTGTCCAAATTAGCAACCAGCCGCCATTTTGAAATTTTTGACTATTTGAAGCTGAAAAATAGTATACACACATAAATTTCATTACGCAGAATTTCATCTTGCGAACTTGACTTGTTCAATAAAAAGGTTGGGGGCAAGGCCAAGATCGGAGAGCACAGCATCCGAGGAGAACGTTACTATCCTTTATGGTTACAGTGGGGGCTACTTAGGGATTTGTGAATATATAGGGTGCTGCATTTAATTCGAAAATTACGCATCCTACAAGAAAAGTTTCAAACAGAAACTGCAGGGTTTCAAAAGGACACAATAATAGTTACCTTGACAATGACTTCGATCACGACTCTCAAGGTTAAGCGAATACATATGTTTAAATTTTTAAATTTGCTGTAGCAAAAATGTTCATCAGTACCGTTGTGAGCTTTGTGGTGATCACTTATCAAGGTAACCTTCACAATGACCTTGACTATCACCTTTAAGCTAATGGCAAAATTTTACAAGTTAAATATAAAAGCTGGCATAAGAATCAATATTCACCTTGAAATCACTGAATATCGTGGTGAAAGTCATGATCAAGGTCATCATCATTTTGCCCCTCGACACCCTGCAACTGTTGTTTGAATTTTTATAGAATGCGTAGTGTCCAAAACGTTTAGGTTGGGAGATTAAAATAGGTCACCCTGTATATTAATGTTAACTACATCGCTAAGCTTTCTTGAAATAAGTAGCTCTACGCCCTAGGAGCGGTAGCCAATGTACCTATTAGGACATTAGGACTTTAGATTCACTTAATTGGCCCCTTGTCCCTTAGAAGCTATGTTACTAGGAATGCGCATCCAGTAATAACATGATTTTCATTAAGTTTGAAGCTGCTCTTCTATGACTTACTACAAAACTCACGTGAAAATAAAATGGACAATTTTCTCTAGGAGAGTGTCCTCATCTTTTATATGCATAGGATATTCTGCTATTTCACAAATAGCTCGCAACAGACACTGTTCTCCATTTAGTCCGAAGCTAGAAAAAAATACATTATACGTAATACAAAGTTATTGCATGTAATCTGCAAAAAGTGCTTTTCACTGTTCTCGTCATAGAAGGAACGGTTTAGCATGCATTGTTGCGTATGCTTATTATGACATTTTTGCACTTGTGCGCGAAAAAGTGATAACGCTGAAAACTACCACCGAACAAAACGTTTTCCAAGATGCAAAAGGACTCCGAGACCTTGCATTAGAGTCGAGTCTTCGACCAGTCGAACAGCCCTCTGCTGAACAGCATCGAGCATAGATGATATTGTCGGGGCGGCAGCATCCCAAAAGTGTGAGTAGCACTCGAGGCTAAGTCTTATATCGGCCTTGTACAGAGTGCGGAAGTCTTATGGGGAAAAGTACTTTCTAGCCCTATACAAATAGGCTAGCTTCTTCCCAACAGCAGCCGCTATTGACGAGATACGTTTTTGCCATATCAAGCCCTCGGTGATCTGGACTCCTACCAGCCGAAATGAACGAGCCTGTGGTAGAACTGGGCCACCCGTCAAAACCGGATGAGCGCAGAGCACGTCTTGTTAGCCAAGGTAAAGTACTGTATTTTGGAAGCATTAAACTGTACCAGATGTTTGCATCCCCAATCAGTGATAACCTCCAGGTATGTAAAAGGAATAATGTCTGAGTCAAGATCAATCTCTTGAGAACACCGGCGCTGACATTGTGTGGTGCTTTTTATCAACCATAGTCGTATTCTTGTACTTACCTATCTAGAAATGCAATGATGTACTTGTAAAACTTTTTCCTACTAATATCAAAATATGTACTTGTATATTTATCTTTTTCTCTTGCTTTGACGATCATTGGTTGGAAATTTGTCACATTATACGGAAGATTGTAGTTGACCTGCCCAACTATACTGAAATTTATCGATCTTCTGGGCAGCACTAGGGGTACTGAGAGTCCCGTACTGAACTAAAAAAATTCTCAATGTTACAAATTATCAAGTTCAATAAGTCCTAAGTCAAACAAATCTACTAAAAATCATGATTTTTTTTTTCACGATAGTATTACATATATTTTCTATTCATTAGTAATGACTTAGAAACGGCGAATAATGACATTAATCAAGATCTTGCTAAAATTGAAAAGTTTAGTAATAGTCATAATCTCCGTTTGAACCCTTTGAAGACAAATATGCTAGTATAGTCAAGAAAAATTAATGCTTCCAAAAATGACAAACATAAATTTAAAAGGTAATATATAGAATAAATTCCTGTGGATCGTTCTAAGAGCCTAGGTATTATAATGGATGATGATTTAAAATTCGTTGAACATGTAAGCTGTCTAATTTCCCAGTGCTAGGCTATTTATTCTGAGAGCTTTATTTGCAAATATGACTATGTTACATAAATCAGCGAGAAACCAGTTTTGTGAATCTTTCCTGTTTTCAAAAGTATCGCTTAGTGGTTTACTATCACTATTCAGATGTTATACCAAGAAATCGTATTCAAATATTATGAATACATGATCTCAGAGAATAAGATCATTCAGGGTGGCGCATCGAAAACGAAACAGATGCATTTACTGGCAGCTCAATATTTTTTGGAAAAACGTTCAGACCCGTCGATTTTGTTTTCGAGGGGGACACAAGTTTGGCAAAAAATCACATTAGCACGTGCAGCCCCCTAAGCGGGGGTGACACCACCCCCAAAATCTTAAATAGAAAGGGAGGTCGAGTGATACCTTATTTTAAAGGTCTTTCAATTCCCTTTATAATGATATAAAATTAATGTACTTCAGTTCAGTAGTTTTGAAGATTTATTGATTTAAAGCTTAAAAAAAACTAATACATCATCATTAGTGGAGATCAATGCATTTGGCAGCAAAGTAATTTAAAAATGATGAATGAACTGACCCGTTAGGCAAGTAAATGTTGAAAATGGCCACCACGACTCTCCATGCAATAATAAAGATTTTGGTCAAAACGTTGCCGCACATTTTGCAATATTTGAGGAGTAATTTGAAGGCACTCATTCACAAAAATGACCCCACATAAATAAATCCAAAGGTGATAAATCTGGCGATCTTGGGGGCCATTCAATGGCACCTCTTCTACCAATCCATCGATCTGGAAACGTCTGATCTAAATATTGTCGAACACGTAATGCGTAATGTGGTGGGGCACCATCCTGTTGGAACATCAACCTATTCGCAATGTACCGCCGATCATTCTGATTTTCAATTATGGCTGTTAATCCAGGATCTATGGCGCCTTCCATAATTCCAAATACATTTCACTGGTCAAATTTCCAGGTAAGAAAAAAGGAGCAACTAAATTATCGCCAAAAATACCAGCTCAAACATTTAATTTTTGTGGCTGCTGTGTATGAACCTCATGCGGGTACTTAACGTAGGATCTACATAAACTTGCCCTAAAGCCCCCACTTCTATTGCTTCGTTCCTTATGGGATTTTCAATGTTGCGTTTTTTATTGGCAACTGACCCAGTTTCCCGAAATTTAGCTACAAGTTCTAGAACATATTTTCGATGCACGTTACTGTTCTCATCTCGCTCATTTAATATTTCTGCTGTTCTATTAGCGCACTGATTATTTCCGAAAAACATTTCGATAATTTCACCTCTTTATGCTGTGGAATATACCATGGTTAATTTATGTAATAAAGCGTCACAAGTTATTTTAGCAACAAAGTTTGGTCAAATCAATCGCAAACTATGTACTAACTTCCTATTTAAAATAAGTACGAGATATTTCCTTATCTTTCTTCAAGAAATAACTTTTTTGCCACAAAAAAACAATCCAATAGCTATTTTCAACAACAAAATGATAAACAAACCATTGGCGTAGTGAAGAAAATAAATCTTCAAAACTACTGAACTGAAGTACATTTTATATCATTATAAATGGAATTGAAAGACCTCTAAAATAACGTATCACTCGACCCCCCCCCCCCTTTCCATTTAAGATTTTATTGTTGGTATCACCCCCGCCCAGGGGGCTGCACGTGTTAATGTGATTTTTTTCCAAACTTGTGTCCCCTCGAAAACAAAATCGACGGGTCTGAGCGTTTTTCCAAAAAAAAACTGAGCAGCCAGTAAATGCGTCTGTTTCGTTTTCGATGCGCCACCCTGTATATCCATAGACCAATGACCTTAAATGCATGGAAATTGATAAAATATATAAATGCCAGCTCCTAGTCAGACATATAGGGTTCTTTATTCAACAACACCGTCATATTTAGAAAGCAAATTCATACGTAGATGGAATATGCATGGTATTAAATTATATATAGAGAGACTTTTTCAATCTCACGCCAGAGCACACATATTTACATTGCAATAATATTATAGTAACCTGACACAGGAATTGAATATCAGTATTGGTGGAGCTCCATTTCCGTTATTGGATACAACAAAAAATTTAGGGTTGACTTTTGTGCCCTACGCTTCAAGGAACATGTTAAAAAAATGTTATTGAATTTTAAACTAATTTTATGGTAACAGACATATTATGAATTTAAAAACTAGGAAAAAACAAAAAACTGTTTTAATGCTGTTTACTATTCATGCCTAGATGCAGCCTCTAAGATAGGTTACAAAGGTTTCAAAATATACCCTATTTCATGAATATCCATCATGGTAGAATGACAGCTGGTTATCTAGTAATACTACAAAATTCCCTATATTGGCACAGGACACATAATTCTGACAGATCCGAACACCAGGTAGTCAGAGTCGTATGTTGTTCTGCTTTTTTTGTACGCTACAGATTCATTTTGTACTTGCTAACAGCTCTTTCATTTAGAAAACTTTATTTGCATACAAAAAACAAAACGCTACAAACAAGCTTTACTAGATTTTCACCCGATTCATTACACAAGGTATAGTTGTAGATTATTTATTCATAACCTAGATAAATATGATTCAACTTCAGCAAAAATATTTGAGCTGAAATGGTTACGCCTAGAAGACATGTATAGATACATACATTATTGTCTCGTCGAAGAAAAGGTGACATCAATTTGAGATATTGTTTATTGTATAATATTTTCTAATCATCATTAGTTCCATCTTTTTACTGTTCTACACTGTTTGCTTCTATCAAGTTATATTGTTCTTTGTTATTCTTTTCGTATGAAGATATTCTTTTTAGTTTCTATTTACTGTACAAGTGCATTAATTGACTTCGTCGGAGAGGTTGAGTAGAATAGTTTTTTCTAGACTCCGCCCTTTGGAGAGCATTATTTATTATAATGGATACATCAATAAAGAGCTGTTATTATTATTATTATATAATTTCTTGGACCATAGTGTCAAAGAAACTAAATCATCACTCAGATTCAAGAACAAGTTGAAAGACATTCTACTTAATCAGCAGCGAAACCTTTTTAACCAAAAAGTTTTAATTGACATTATGTTTTACTTATGCTGTTACATCAATTATGCTTTACTATTGTAGTGATTGTATATAGGTATTGATTGTTAACTAATGTTTTGTTTTTATACATCTTGTATTGTTAAGGGGGTTAGGGGTAAAATAGATATAGTATCTAAATCTCACATCCTGCAATGTTATTACTAATAAAAAGCCGTTAATTATTATTATTACTATTGGTACTCACCTGTACGACAGTATACCGTGTGAAAAGCAAAGCTCGCTTAGATAAGTGGTGTTGTTGGCATACAGTAGTTCTTAGAAGAACAACTAATGTGATAAATCTGCGTAATATCATGACTAAACAACAAGTACCAATATGACAAATGTACTTCTAAAGGTACATCTTGTGCAAAATACATATTTACCATTCAGATTAACATTCTAAGAACTAATAGACAGAGTAAACTTGGCCTCGCTTCTAAATGTAACCGAACAAGGAGTCTCTTGGTGTGCTTGATTATATTTCTTGCGGTGACAGATATTAAAGGCAACTTTCAAAAAGTTTTTCATTTTACTTCCCACGCCTGCTGGCAGGGAAATATTGTAATCGTGAAAAAATAAAAAAATGAGGTATTATGTTTTTTGGATGTTATATGCATTGTAAATCACGAAAAACCATGTCACTCATTTGGAAAAGACGACTCGGATTTGAATGAGATCTCCATACAACGTTACTACTATGCCAAGGCCGAAAAAGTTTTTGAAAATCGGTGCAGTGGTGGTGGAGAAAGCTGCCGAAGGTGAAAAGAAAAATAAAAGTCGTTTTTGACGCTTCAGGGGAGTAGCTAAAAGGATATTCAGCAGACGGATCGCCTATCCGTCGCATATGCTGTGCGGCACCAGGTTATTCATTGATTTGAGCAGGCAAACAGCGCGGCGACATACGAGGTGGGCACGTTATTATCCATATTTATGAACGTTATACTTTGAGTGCAATTGAATGATGTTATTTGATTACGTGACGTAACATAATGTAAGTATTTATGAAGAGCTATTACAAACTATTATCAAACATTGTTGACAAGCAGTTTTACACCAGAGCTCCATGGAGATGAGGCTCCCGTGTAGGGCAATGCTCATTGCTGCAATCCGAGGAAACTTTTTTCCAAGTAGTGAATTACTGGTTCTGACAAAACTTACGTCTTTTTCATGTTTTTGTAGTACATGGAAGATTGTAACAGAAGTTTTTTCGATCCTACCTGACGCCATTTGTTATTGAAATCCCCTATTCAAATCCTCCATTTCGGTTTTAGCACGTATGATTGCTCATGCATATTGCGCAGCCACTCAACGTTGTTTGCTATTTTGTAATATCGTAAAAGTTACTCCAATAAAACTTTTTTACTCTTATTGCCTCAAGCTTTCCCTCATATCAGGAAAGACTATTAGGGAATGTATAGAGTCATCTTTTTGCAGATATTGTGTATACAGGGTGATTCAGAAAAATGTCGCCCTACCCCTAAAATAACAGGAAACATTTATAGAACATGGGTCCTAAAACTTATCCTTAGTGAGATACAGGTTGTCAAAATTCTTTAATGCCTCACTCATTAATGTTATTTTCTGAAAAGGAAACATGACCTCCTTAGAAAAAAACTAATACATAACATTACGTGTGATGATACTTCGGTGATACTTCAATATTTTATGCCTTTGTGAGACATCACTAGTTTGGAAATTTGACACTCTTTCTTTTTTGGATTCACTGGCAAAAAACAATTTTTTTGTTTTTCGCTGATATTTTCAAAACCAGTTGACCAATCGTCGATCTGAAGCCGGCTATCGAAAGCGCTAAGTTTCCTCTAAAACATTTGCCTTTGCTGTAGGTATTACTGGGGCCAAGATCCCTGTATAGGGAAGCGAATATGGGACACACTGTATACATTTCAATGGATTTTTCAGTCCTAAACCGAGCGATGTATTTCCTTAGTTGGCCACGGGTCAAACGTTAACACATAAAGAAGGTTTTATTGATGGTAATAACAATAATCATGAATAAGCAGAGGTAAATCATAGCAGATGTCCGTTATTTTGTAGACAAAGCCTGACTCTGACACTGTCCACTGCTCGGTTTATTTATCTTCTTCTCGGTCTTCCAAACTCAGTTACTATGTTCAATATGAGGTCTTCAAAACTGTCATAATATGCTCTCCATGCATAAATTGGCCATACCTACGGAGGCTTGCAAGATTTTGGTGCAAAAATATGCCTTAATTCTTCAACCAAATGCTTTTGTAGCCACAAAATTGACCTCAAAACATTGAACGGCAGCCTTAGAAAAATGAAAATTTTATACATTTCCATGCATTTCGTGTCAGGCTAACCTAATCTTAGTTAACACCGCACTCACGACTGACAGCGCTTAATGAGATGTTCAAACTAGGTACAGAGTGTCAGTCCCAGTGGCGGATTTGGAGGAGGGCGAAGGAGAGCTCCTCCCTTCCCTTCGCGCCCAGGACTACTTTTTTTCGAAGAAAATAATATTGCTAATCTTGGTGAAAAAAAATTACGACCCCCCCTCACCTAAACAGACTCCTAAATCTACTCTTTGTCAGTCTTGATGAATGATACGGCATCAGTGACTGACAAAGTGGTCAATGTGGCAATGTTATGAGATCTGGTATAATTTTGAGTAAATTCCAGAAGATTATGAATTAGTAACTATGAGGTGAAGTTTCAGGGCAAACCACTTTTGTTCGTTGTCCGACCTGGAGATCTAGATCAACTGATGATTGCCGGTGAGTATGAAACATCGGTTACGCAATTATCCCATTTCTCGGGCGGACGAAACAGAGAGGTACTTTTTGCTAAAATTGACGGCATTTGGCGTTTCTTATTATAGCGGTCAGTAGGTAGTTAAACTAAGTTTAACTATGACTTCGTTGATATCTTTGGGTTGATGGATAAATAAAACAAGTAATACTAATGAGATAAAAAAATTAGTTACACATAACTTCACTAGTACAAAACACGCGAATATCACTAAATTGAGCCACAATTAGTTTAACTAAAACTACATATAAATATTGATTTAATTAGAAAAAGCACAAGTATATCGACCACAGCATCCTCAGCAACAGAAAAACGAATACTGCTTTCACGGTTTGGTGGATCCAGTATAATCTGAAAATAATGAACAAGATGTCAATGTCACGAGTTTTTGCCACATATAACGAAGTTATTAAGTCATTAGCTACCAAAAAGAATTGGCGTCCAATAAAAGCAACAGCTGCGACTTTCTACCATCCCGCTTTACCTCCGACTCGCAGAATGATCAGTTGCCAAACAAATTTAAACAATGTTCGCGCTAAATTTTTATTTGATCATTTTTCCAAATTGGGATCCTATTTAGAGTTAACAACGCTCAGAACTATATGACTTGTATATCTACAGAAGGAACCTTATATATGAAAAGGAGGCAGTAGATCCACTGACAGAAACTGGGCGTGATTTTCTTCCCTGGAGAGTGATCATGAATTCTGATAGTTCTTTGCACTTATAAAATAAGTATCATAAAATTAACTCCTTCTTTAGGTATGATACTGATGATGGGAATCCCGGAAAAAGACAGTGCCTCAAAAAGTAAGAGAGTTAGTTAGGCTCATTTTCTTTCAGTTATATAGAATAACTCATTCACCGCTTCAAAACCCACTGTAAGCGAGTTTTTCTTTGTGACGTTTCTAGTTCTTTTCTATCTAAAGAAGAGAAATTACCTTCTCCATTTTTTCCTAGCCTCGTCGACTGTATCCATTGGGTCCTGCAACAGGTGGACTCTGACACCTCGGCCATACATTTTGAAGAATTCGTCCCAATTCAGCGATTTCAAATCACAGAAAAAGATACTGCGATCTTTAGGTGTCATCTTTTCTAACATTTTTCTTATATTCTGTGATTTGAAGTAGAATGTCCTTATGGAGAAGTAGGAGATCACTTCTCCGAATTTGTGGATTTTTGAGTACGCCTTGACCATCCTGAAAGAGAAGAAATTCGCACAACAATAATTCAACATGGCGTATGGTGGACCAAAAACAATATTGTCAGAGTGAAAATAGTTGTAGTATCCGTGGTGCCACGGAAAAAGGGGATAAGTCAAAATTTGCCCAAAATAGCATAAGTTCAAATTCAAATTGTATATTATGGGATCAGTGTTACGGACAAAGTGAGGTATGTTACTTATTCAAAATACAGTAGTGAAGTAATGTTCATAATGAGATAAGTTCAAACAGGTCCCTGAAAATGTTCATCAGGAGGTAAGTTAACTTATCCCTTTAGGTACAAAAACATGAGCTGTATCGCTCCAGGACAAAACAACAACAAACTCGACTTATATCATTCCACCCGTAATATTTTATAGTCTAGCTACATACTTGTCAAATCCTGTAGCTGAGAGACGTGTTTCAAATACGCAGCTGATGACATCAGAAAAGTACCTGCAGGTCAGAATAAGAATTCGCACATTGTTGCAATGTATTTTGCCGTATTAAAATCTCATCCAACAGTTATGGTACTCAATCACAAATTTTTAGTTCCCGGACATACTCACATGGAATGTGATGGGGATCATGCTCTGATTGAGAGAACAAGAAAACTTTCAGAGATGCCAATCCATCATCCACGAGATTGGTATCAAATGGTTCGATTGACTGGGAAGAGACGTCCTTTTAAAGTTGTTGAAATGGATTAGTCCAAATTTTTTGACTTTGCAAAACTTTTAAAAGCTGAACTACAATTACAAAAAAATGAAGCTGGCGATAAATTTTGATGGCGTAAAATACGAGAAATAAAGGTTGAGGACAACATAGGCATAATGAATTTCAAGATAAGTGTCACCACAATTGGAAACACTTGTCGTTTAGGAAACGGGGCCCCTGCCCAGTTTAGCTCAAGATTTACAGTATGGAGGTACAGTTTCAATTTCGGAAAAAAAGAAGCCGAACCTGATCACACTATTACCCTACATTTCCGATGTGTTTTGGGATTTTTATAAAAATTTGCCCCCCAACCGTGATAAAGAAACACATCCGGATATAGTATCTTGTAACGACGCCGATTAGTTCGTACTTATAGATTTCTTTGTTTTTTTGAATTAGCTATGTCAAAAACCTGATATTCTCGTTTCTGTGTTTAGTTTAAATGTAACTAATGAGGTAAGTACATTTTTGTTAAGTTCGTAAAGGGATATGTCCATTTTTTTCTCAAATAGACTCTTTTTGAAAATGGCGTCCTGACGTATAAAAGAAATTATTTTTTTCTAACCTACCCCTAACATTTCAAGGCTGTATTTACATACCCGATTTCAGAACAATACTTAAACTTTAAGTCGAACCACAGAGAATTCTAAATAATAGACTTATCTCCTTCTTCCCTGGCACCACGGATAAGTATACAAGCAATTAAAAGCGATCCTTAATTTTATTTTCCTGGTCGCATCTTGTTTCAAAGGCAATATATCATTGAATTAAGTTCAGTCTACGAAAGCAAGGCTAGAAATTGCTTCAAGATAAATTATGCCCAAACCTCTTTTTCTTAAAACCTTTCCTCACAAGATCCTACAGAGTATTTTAGGATTTTAAAGCGAATTTGAACCTTCCCTGATAGGCTAACATAAGGAAAACTTTTGATTTTCGCACTCTGTACATGCTTAAATTTCTTTTATATGAGGTTGAGACTCACAAAACGTACTGGCGGAGTGGCGGATAGCGGATTCTTGAGCTTAGGTGTAATTACAGCTAAACGGTCGTGTCTAATGTTGCCTGCCCTTGAGGCTTCCCAGCACCCAGCGTGACCTTGACAACCTTAAGTAAATAACAACTTGAGGAATAAAAAAGAATGGGCGCCAACCAACTTTCGGCATCGACTGTTAGGGGAAAGTTCAATCCTACGCACTCCACTGCTTTGTTCTCTCAAACCGCCGTGTTGCCCCATCTGGCGGCATTCAAGTGAAACCACTGGATTGGTAAGTTATCTCCAATCACTTTCTAGTTGCACCACGCCGCCTAGTGGGCACACACCACGGTACTACCATGCGAGGACAGTAATCTGTATACGATTTGTCGGAGAAGCAAGTATGTTTAGTGAAAAGGTGGCCCAACTAGCAATGTAGTGCTATAAGCTTTTGGTAAAGGAACTGTTCAGCCGTAAAAGCTCTTTATTGTTGTTGCCTGAACACCAAAATGCTGGCTTGATATTGTGTGGAATGCAAATTTGCTTTCTGCAGCATATTTGTTCTAAAATGAGGTGTTTAAAATATTCTTATAGCATAGTTATACACCTTATAGGACAAATTTTGAACGGTTGCATAAACGTTTATACAACTATTTTATACGGCATATTTGCGCGGTAGTCAAAACAGTTGTGTTGTGCATCCATGGTAACGTTTATACAACAAACCCCAGCCTTGTTGGTTTGGTGTGCACATTTACTACTTTAGCCAACAAATTGCTCCCAACGGAAGCACTTATACAACTGTCGTTTAGTAACTGTTAAAGGCTGTACATCTGCAACAATATTACAACTTTTATAGTACAAAATTGCTGTGCTGGGCATACATTTATATACAACTTCACCATAACCTAACTTTCTGCTGTCATCTTTTTAGTGAAAATGCCATAACCAATATTTTAAGACAAGCATATTGGTTTAAAAGGTTTTCTCAACTGTTCAAACAGGAGATATAGTCAACGCCAAACAAAGTGGCGTGCACGTCATCACGATAAAAATTCCCCGACCTAATGCCTAGGTTTCTATCACAAACAATTGCTCTATTGCAGTTTCATATTAATGTGATATATAAATTGTAAAATGGTCATTACTCTCTTATTATGGTTAATAGTCATATAAACATTGTTATTAAAATATCACATAAGTTGCTTTCTGATAAATTTAGATGCATTATGCGAAATAAAATGTTTTGCAAACGCTCCAATCACTTATCGACATGTAAACGCACTAAACCGATTTCGCAGCGTTGACACATTGTCACCTTGAAACTTATTTAAACTGGGAACTGACATTTGTATTAATTTTGACACTGAATCAATTTGTGGCATTTCAAATCTTTATAAATCCTTTGGCCCCGCATACTGTAAATCAACAACTGTTTGTTTCAAAACAAAATTATTCATTATACGAGTAGATAAAGGCAATTTTGGTATATAAAGATGCCCAAACAGTTAAATAGTCGGTGTAAGGAACTCGTGGCCTCGTTAATGCACTACTTTGAGCAAGAAAGGTACAACAACGGGCCTTTGTTGCCTTTAAATGCTGTTCAAGAGGTAGGTTACTAATAATTATATGTAATGTATATTAATAATAGTGAAATTTTATTTCATTTTTTGTAGCGTGTTGCTGCTGCTTTAAAAATTAGTTTAAGGACAGTTAGTCGTATTTCCGAGGGTGTGAAAAGTGATGCAAATTTAGAATCGCCCAAGAAAAAGCGGAGTTATATTAAACGTGTAACCAACACAGCGACATTGGATACAAGTGCCATTCGAGAAGTGATCTATAATATCTATCACAAAAGTAAGATCTTATTATAATAACTTATCAGAAATTTGCATTAATTTGTTAACTAAATTATAATGTCATATTACACATGGTTTCAGAAGAACAAGTTACGATACAAACTTTATGGTCTCGATTAAGAGATGGGGCATTATTTGATGGTAGTGCCACGTCTTTAAGGCGGTTGCTTAGAGATCTTGGATTTAAGTGGCTTAAGGACAATCCGCGACGAGGGCTCATGGAACTACCAAGTATAGCTTTGAAAAGGGTGGAATTTCTAAGGCAATACAATCAAGCCAAGGTTGAGGCCTTATACCAGTTTGTCTTCCTCGATGAAACTTGGATATTTCAAAATGGGACCATAGGTCGCTCTTGGCAAAATGGAAACCAAAAAAGCTTGAAAGCTATTAAAACAGATGGTAAAAGGTATGTACTTTTACACAATTTGCACTATAAAATTTAAAACTAATATATTTTAGATACATTATATTACATGCTGGAAATGAAAATGGGTTTATTGAGGGTAGTGAAGCGATATTTTCTTCGAAAACAAAATTGAGCGATTACCATGGAGAGATGAACCAGGACAATTTTTTGAAATGGTTTCAACATCAGTTATTAGAAAAATTGGAGAGTCCATCTATGATTATACTGGATAACGCCCCTTATCACAGCATGATATTGAACAAAGTGCCCAACAATGCATGGACAAAAAAAAATATCCAAGACTGGTTGACAAATCAAAACATACCATTTTTAAACACAATGTTTAAAACAGAGCTATTGAGTATTGTTGCTCGGTACATAATGCTTCTTAATTATATATATTTTGGTCGACAGTTTATATTTCTTTTGTTTATTCCTATTCTTAAAATAACTGCTTTTTTAGAAACAAACCACCTAAAATATACGTGATTGATGAATTGGCGGAACAACATGGGCACAAAGTTCTTCGACTGCCTCCTTACCATTGTATATTTAACCCTATTGAGTTAATTTGGGGCATAGCAAAAGGTTACTATAACAGACATATTGGTAGAGATGGTAACAGTGAAAAAGACTGTTTGGATATGTGGAACGAGGCTCTACAAACGGTTACCCCAGACATGTGGAAAAATAGTGTTCGACATACTGAGCAAGAAATTTTTAAATGGTATGAAAGAGAACGAATTTTTGATCGACCAGACATCGAACCTTTAATAATCAACTTTGAGAGTGATGAAGATTCAGATTCAGACAGCGCTGAAGAAAGAAACTCCGACTAACTTTATTGTACAGAAAAAGCTTACACCAGTAGCTTACCTAATTTTAGAATGCATTTTTCTGTATGAATTCTGTAAAATAAATACCATGCATAAAATTTGGAGGACCCCATTTTGATTTTTATTCAGTACCTTTAAGCTATCAATTAAATATGGTAGTTTCATAGTGTCATCTGATCAATAATTGTCATACTTAATGATTATGCAAGTACAGATCTATAATTTTATTATACTATTATTTTTGTTCTCATTTGAGGTTAATATTGCTTATAAACCTAGATATGTAAATAATAAATTTTATTATTTTACAAAAAGTTTGGCAACAATGTAAATTTTTCAACACACCCACCTTGATGACGTGCACGCCACTTTGTTTGGCGTTGACTATATAGATCTGGTACAAATTCTGGAAGATCATTCGACTCTGTCCGTATTTCATTTCAGAGATTTGTCAAATTGTTGTATAACACTTGCAGACAACACCAAAATATTCTAATAAACCAAAGGCAACATAGACGATGCCATGATTATACATAACCACCCGCCCTATTGGGCAAAAACATATTCCTCTATTGAAAATTAAAAAAATTATGTTTCAGTTCGACATTACAGATATAAAGTGATAAACGTTACTGTAATTGTGTCTAAATATAGGATTTGTGGAAGATTTAACGCAAATGAGTTGAGTTGTTCATCTTAAAAATCTAAACATTCTTAAGTTGCGTAACTACTTTGCACGATAATCACAATAAAATTTGCTGCGCAAGTAATTTTATAGCCCTATATCACAGTGTGGAAGTTTATCATATACCTGTGTATGAAATTCACAATGGCCGATATGTAAGTAAACAAGATGACTGTAATGTATTAGTTATATATTCTTCACTTCGCCTATACAATATATAAGAAATAGTTGCAATGAAATAGAATCAGGTAACAGAATAGTTGTATAGTTGACAGAAACTGAATCTTGCACTGACGCAAATGTTCTATAGCGGCTGCAAGAGGTTTACGCTTTTGTTGTGTAACTGTTACCTGCAGCCCTTATACAGCCTCTTAAATAACCGAAGTGCCCTATTAGGTGTGCCCATTCCTCTTGTATAGCTGTTCTAAGACCGTTTTGCCAATGTTCTTACAGCATACAACGCTGTGTAAGGAATACCGTATAATTATTCTTGCAACTCTAATAGGAGTGATAATTGTTAGTTGGGGGGGCTTCAAGGCAGTTAGAGTTCGAGTTCATTTCTTCAGTTCCGTTCCTGCTGAATCCTTCGGTAAGCAAAAGAGGGGAAGTGTGAGGGTCCAAACATCGGAATTAGGTGACAATGTGGCGGTGTTGCCGCTTCCCTTGCAGCGTAATGCGGATTTTTTTGGCATGGTATCAACCTCACAAGGAAAGATCATACCTCAACCTCCCTCGTAATTATTTCTAAGAGGTCGCATTCTCGGACGGAAGAAGATGTATCATAACGTCCGAGTACCGTCCGAGAGGTAGCAACGCTGACACCCAAAGGCGACGGTCAACAGATATAAAATGAGTCCTGAAAGTTGGCACTTTCTTTATCAGAAACAATTACGTATGAAATAACAAAGTTACTTCCCAGTACAATAGCACCGAAAACGTAAAAAAGAAATTGATAAAAAAAATTCTCTCTATTTTTTGATACGGCGTATCAAGTACTGCCATGTCACTGGTTTTGTTTGTAATTACTACTTGAGGTTGTTGTTTTTTGATTCAGTTTGTTTACTTTTTCCTGAATTTGGGACATTTGGAGCTTTCTCGGATTTCTACATCCAGACGGCTTTTGCACCATATAAACAAACCCACGCAGCTCTGACGGAAACTTCGAAAATGACGACGACGTCCTGAATACTCGAGTACCCTCGCGGAGTATCAATAGGATCTTGAAGACGCTCACAGTAAGCAGACATCAAATTGATAACAACCTTATTGCTATGGGAATGTGTCAACTGGGGTTTGTTTATGAACTAGATTAACCTACACGCCGATTTTTTAGACCAAAGCAGCCGCGTAGGCAGAAGCCCAAAGACGACTTCGTTAATCCGATTCTTGAACTGAGGCAGCGGTCGCATCAGCCAGTTCTGGATGTCGACACGGTCAGGATGAGAGGCTTTAGCGCTTTGATAGAAGGCATAAATGCGTTTCGCTTTTACAAGATTATTGAGTTTTCTGTGAAGGTATAGCAACGAAATGAAGAGTAGAAAACCCTTTTTAATAAAATCGATTAGCGATTATCTCCACTAAGCGCTTTACTTTCATATGGTATTTCCGAAATTCTTGTTTGAGGCTAGGCAAACAATGTAAAAACTAAGGATGCATGTTTTACATGGGGGATACGGGGAAGCCTTTATGAATTGAAATGACAACGAAGGTAGGTACTTACTTTGGTGATTTTCCTATGCAGAGTAATACTCCATCTATGAGGAAAGCAGGTACAGTATGCAGGAAAAATATCGTGAATAGATATCGTAGTCGTGATTTGGTCAGGAAGAAGCTGTAATACCATACTGCCTTCAGTGAGGGTGTAGGCATACCGTACTCTCCTGACTTTGCCATGTAATACTCCCACGTGATGGGCTACAAGGAAAAGCAAAAGTTCCAAAATTTTAAATATGTTCACTGAATACGAAAAATCATTAATTAAACACTCTTAATCCATTTGAAATTATGTATATGAATGAAGTATTTGGCTTATCTACATATAAAGCACAAAACATAAAGCCACAAGTTTTATAAAAAGTACCATCAAATATTTCATTACAAAGGCACAGGCCCCCAAAGATGTTACTGGAAATAGATATTTCTGAAATAACGTTTTTTCACTGCTAACGCGATAAATCGCCATTATTCCCACATTCCTTCAAAGAGATGTTACTTCTCTTCCACTGGGCAATTAGGCAAGACTAAGTAAATAATGAATGTGTATGTGGAGCTTCTTTTGCTTGCTGGGCACAAAATTGTCACTGCTATGAAGCCCTTTACCCATTTTTGAACATTTTTAATAATTATTAATTACTACAAATCACTATAGCCTACTTTATAACAAACTTACTTGATAAATTCGTGAATTTGAATATCAGTGGAAAACAAATGATGTGTTTTTGTCGGGCAGTGTTGCCGGGCGTTCCGGAAATTCTCAAGAATGCTATATTTTAAAGACAGTGAAAAAAAAATTCTATACATACATCATCGAGGAGACCAAGTTATCGAATATACTATTATGCGATAGTATTCTAGAATGAGATATTTGATAAGAAATAAACTAGTTGAAGCCACATATCTTGCAGTATAGATAGTCAGGGACTGACTAGCACTGATGTAGCATTGCGAGTTTTTTTTTTTAAATTCTGTATATTAATGACCCAACAATGATATTTTTAACGCCTATTCAATTTGAAAAAAATGTGTTACGGCTTTTGGAAACAGCATTTAATATGGAATGTCTTTCTTAAAAATAGCTAGCTTATCCAAATGAAGATACGTTTTTTCAAATAAAATGTCAGGTTTCCTAAGAATATGATTATGCAGGTCATTTAGAATCATCAATATTGCGTAACGGCTAGTCCGTATCTGTCGATCTAAATGAGCATCTGTTTTGCAATGATTTCAGCATGTGTGGCCCAAAGCCGACTGATCATTTGAAATTTCTTAGGAACATACGGTGTCGTTATTCAAGAAAATCGTTTAGAGGACTCTGTTGGAAATGCTTGAAGGACATTTATTATACGAACTTGTGGCACTATTTTTGTGCTATATGCATACAAGATCGTGTCATCTTGTAAACGATTTCGCGGATGAGTGCATCCGTAACATGTATGCTTAGTAACCAGCAACCTGGGAATCGAGCCCGCATATCCTCCATTCCGTGAAGCAAACATGACCAATTAGTCTACAGCACCAGCTGCCAACCAACTGTCACCCACCCACTGTTTATTTGTTCCTTTAAGCTACTTGATGCCCCAAACAAATCGGATTGGTGAGGTATCTGCAATCGCTTTCTAGTTACAGCACGATGCCTCGTGAGCACCCCCTCCACCGTGCGAGGACAGTAACCTGTCTACGATTGTTTAAGTGAACACATCAATAAGAGAGAGTATGCTTAATAGTTTTCCTTTCTGTCAAGTTGTTTACTAAAGCTACTCGCTGTTACTGACGAGTTCATTCGAAAAATCGTATACAGTTTAATGTCCTCGCACGGTGTACCGTGGTAAGTGCCCACGAGACAGCGTGGTGCAACTAGGAAGTGCTTGGAGATTCCTTAACAATCCGGTTTGCTTTCACTTCCACGCCGCCAGATGAAGCATCAAGGAGCTTGAAAGATCAAAGGAACAGTGCCGTGGGTAGGATTGAATTTGCTCTAAGAGTCGATCCTTAAAGTTGGTAGGCAGCTGATGCTGTAGACAAATTGGTTATGTCTGCTCGACGGAATGAAGGAGATGCGTGTTCGAATCCCTCTGGCGCTCATTTGTCCTTTCTCTCAAGTTTTTGTTTACTAAACATACTGTCATCTTAATCTGGGTCTTCCTATAGACACTAACATTGTCGTTACTGCTTTCATAGTTGTATATCTTAGTCTCAGCATTCTTGTTCTTCTGGAACTCCGTGCCAATCTCCCATCCCGATGCAATAACTGAGTTGACCACCATATCGACAGGAACAATGTTAGCTGTGCAGTTTTTATCGCAGTAGAGGACTTTGAGCAGTCCAACTGCTGCACCTGCAAAAACTCCTGTGGCTCCGTACATGTTGTTGATCCAGGCAGGGATGGGTTCTTTGTAGGTCGAAACCACTAAAAAAATGACATCATGTAGGTTGCCCCTGCACTTCCTATTTATTTGGGTAAAATAGCAATGTTGTGTTTTAACTTTCAACAATTTTTCTTTCTCTTTTTAGTATTGTTCATTTTCTTTAAAAATCTTATATGTTATCACAGTGGACCTCCGGTAATCCGACAAACATTATGCAGGGCTGTGTCGGACTTTCGTATTTGTCGGATTATAGAGCACTGCCTAAGACTCCCTATAGTCCGGAATTTTTTACAAAAGAGTACCTTGTAATCCGACAAATTACATATCCAATGGTAAGATTATATATACGTATGTATGTTATGTATATGTATGTATGTACTTTGAAGTACAAATCATACATAGTTTATGTATATCGAATTTAGTAAATTAAATAACTATAGAGAGCTTACGTTTTATTATAAAATTAAGCATAAATGCACATACATATGTACCAAAATAATCAAGCATTATTAATCAAAATCATTAATGAATTTATCAAATTATGAAGCTTGGAAATATTCATCATTTTGTTTTGTTTAAGGTTGTTATAAGGCGAGATCAGAGCTTTGTCCCTCAGTCTTCTCAAAAGTAAAAGTTCGTTGTAGGATGTACCATTCTCTTCAGCCCATTGTAAACCTAGCTCAAAGGCATTAATTGCGTCTTGTGCTGTGACCTGTGGAGCAGTTGCAATCACGTCGTCGTTATTTTCCTGATTGTTTGTTGTATAATTAGAAACCTCTTTTATAATCTCTCCGTCAGACATTTCACGAAAAACATTTTCCTGTTTATCCATTCCACGGCACCATATTTCCAAATCTTCCGGACTTATCTGTGTTTCAGTAGCGACTTGTTCTGTAACTTCCGAAGTTACACTGATTTGTGGAACGTTGCTAGGAGTGGTGACTATATCGAGCCATAACTTTTTCCAAGACGATTTGATAGTTGATGACGGTAACGCATTCCACGACTGACAAAGAGCAAAAACCAAGTCTTTCATATTAAATTCTTTTAAAGTTTTTTCTATTGGTTGGTATTTTGATACGGCTCTCAGAAGTAGGTTTTTCTTATAATCTTGCTTGACAAACTAAAAGATATTCTGGTCCATTGGTTGAATCAGTGCAGTGCAATTTGGCGGAAGAAACATCGCAGTGATGCATTTATCCTCAGTTGTTAGTTCTTCTTCAGACGGATGACCGGGAGCGTTATTAAGAAGCAACAACGCTTTTTGAGGAAAATTATGATCTTTTAACCATTTTCTAACTTCAGGTACGAAGCATTCATCAAACCACTTTTTGAAAAGGTCTTTTGTCATCCATGCACTTTTTTGTCCGTAATAGTGTACAGGTAAATCAATGTTTTTGAATGCCCGTGGTTTATTAGATTGCCCAATGACCTTCACCTCAAGCGCGTGTGTGCCCGCAGCGTTAGCACATGGTAGTATGGTTACACGCTCTTTACTTACTTTTCGTCCAGGTACGGATTTTTCTTTACAAGAAACGAAAGTTTTGTCAGGCATCACATGCCAAAAAAGCCCTGATTCGTCTGCATTGTACACCTGTGACGGGTCAAGATTTAAATCGTTCACCTTTTGCAAAAATCTTAATTTAAAGAGATCTTAATTTAAAGAGCTCTATGCAGGTGGCATCGTTAGAAAGTTTCCTGTAATAGTCATTAAACGTATGCCATGACGACTTTTAAAACGTTCTAGCCATCCTTTGCTGGCCACAAAATCATCTTTTTTTGTTATTTTCTTATAAAAAAACTTAGCTTTCATGGCCAACATGGGTCCTGAAATTGGTGCATGCCTATTTCTTTCCTGAAGAAACCACATGTACAAAGCTTCTTGAACTTCTGGATGTTCAGCTTTCCTGAGTGTCTGTCTCTTGCCTGGCCCGCAGTCAGTAGTTGACACGAACTTCTTGATCTTCTAGTGGTTTCTTTTAATGTCATAAATTGTAGATCGGCCTACGCCGTATTCACTTGCTAAACTACTGAAAGTTTCATTGCGATTTAAGCGGTCTAAAATATCACAATTGTCAATGTTTTGTGCTTTCGCTTCTGAGTTTGTGATGACATTACTAGGTACTATACTTAATACACAATGAATAAATAGAAAACAATGAACGCACGCTAGGCCGTACCGCTATCACAAGTAGTCAAATTCAAACTAAGTAAAACAATGCTAACGCTTCAAACACGATAGCGGTGGCGCGTACAAGTTGTAACCTGTTCAAACCTGCGTGATCTACATTAGCGAAGATTGTCAAATACGTATGTATGTAATATTCAAAGACATGTCGGATTACAGGGGGCGCCATATTAGACAGGGGCCGGATTATCGGGGGTCCACTGTATTTATACATCCAACCTGTTTTTATGTACTGCCTTAGTGCAAATCAAAATCATTATTATCAGGTATGTATACTTTCTCACCTATAGAGGGTCTCACAATTCCAACTGGTAATCCAATTCCTTCTGCTCGGACGACATCTTCAGCAACGTGTTTTGTAAAAGCGTATGTATTCGGGAATTTATCCAATATCCTGAAAATAATCATATTTCATCTAAATTTAATAAAAAAGCTACTGCATCGCACTGAATTTGATCTATGGACGTTTCATAATATCAATGAAAGAAATAACTTCTTATCCCTAAGTTCTTTCAAATTTTTCGGATTCTTAGTATAACGTCTATTAAAGTTGTCTTTCATCAAACTGCCAATCTTTCTACGTTTATTCTACGCCTTCCTCAGGGCTTGGAGCTTCAGGATCTCGTTTGGTCTCAAAATATTTCGTCAAAGAAATTACGAATTCTTTTGCTTGTCGACCCAGACGTTTCGGCATTTTAGCAAAATGCTTAAGACGACACCTCAAAGTTTTGAAGAAAAATAACAATGCAAATATTGAGGCAAAAAGGACAGAAATATATACAAGAATATAAAAACTATAGCAGAAATAAAAACGATGACAATAAACATGCGTACACATTAAAAGTTATTATATGATGATTCAGACAGACAAGTCCAAAATGGTTTCTTTAAAATAGGACAATACAAAGACACATATTGAAAAAGGTTCAAAAATAACAATGAACAAATTTGCAAAACTGTAAAACCAAAACATCGTTACTTCATAAAACACGTCCCAAGGTAAAGGAACATAATATCTTCGGCCAACAAAAGTAAAAAAAAGTACATAAAAAATATAAGCAATTTGATTAAAGGTATTTTGACATTTTGTTTATTTATCTCAAGAATCTGAGGAAATTGAAAACATATAAGACCAACTAGATGTGTCTGTCTTCGTCACTTCTAGTAACGTTTGAGTATTCAATATTTGTGATTGCCAAAACTAAGCTCTAAGTGATAAGCGGCGATGGGCACATTGTAAATGTATATGTCGGCGTCAAACGCTGAAATCCGCCATTCCCTGAAATACCTAGTCAGTCCCCGTATTGCCGGCAAACACTGTAACAGTTTGATTATTCCAATGTTTGACTAAGCAATTCAGTCATTCCCTGTAATGACGGAACAATTTCTGACAAACACCGTAACAGCCTCATTAACTTCGTTACTGCTTTTTCCTGACTCATTCATTCATTGTACCAGTTTTGTGTTCATTTGCTTAATTATACATATAGTCCTTTCTGTTCTGCGAAAAAGCAGTGTTTATCCAATAGATGTGTTTGTTTTTTATTTGAAAAAAACTTCTTTGTAATTCAAGGTACTGAGAAGTCTAACATGCGCTAACAAATAATGTTTGAAATAATACAAAATATAAGATAATTCTATGTAACTTTTATTCGTTTGTCACTTCTCGCAGTTCTGCATTTTTTTTAATGTGTATTTATTGTTATATTGGGTGGGCCATTTAAAAGTTTCGATTTAAAAATAAAATAAAACAAAAACGGTTTGAGATATTGCCAAATTTATTTTTTTGTTTTGAAGTACAATTGTTCCGCTCAGAAATGAAATATTACTTCATTCAAATGGCTGCCGCGGCTGGCCTCACAGTAGCCCATTCGATCGGACCAATTTTCGAGCACTTTTTCGAGTGTTTGGGGCCGTATCTCGTCAATGGCATCACGAATGTTGGCCTTCAAATGGTCAATTGTCTCTGGATGGTCGACATAACACTTGTCTTTAACAGCGCCCCACAGGAAATAGTCCAATGGTGTCAAATCGCAGCTTCTTGGCGGCCAATTGACATCACCATTTCGACTGATTAAACGGCCATCGAAGGTTTCGCGCAATAAGTTGATTGTGGCATGCGATGTGTGACAAGTTGCACCATCCTGCTGAAACCAAACATTCTCCACATCAATACCATCAAGAGCAGGAACAAAAAAATCAGTTATCATGGTGCGATAGGTGTTTCCATTGACAGAAACGGTTGCGCCGTCCCCGTCTTCAAAGAAATATGGGCCAATGATGCCTCCGCTCCACAATCCACACCAAACAGTCACTCGCAAGGGATGCATTGGCTTCTCTAAGACCTCGTGTGGGTTTTCCGAGCCCCAGATACGGCAATTTTGCTTATTGACGTAGCCACCAATATGAAAATGAGCTTCGTCTGAAAAGATTATTTTTTTCGCAAAATCGACATCATTGATTAGTTGCTCGTTGGCCCATGTAGCGAAGGCAGAACGAAGTGGATGGTCACGCGGCTTCAACTCTTGAACCAATTGAACTTTGTAAGGCGTCATACCGAGATCTTTCCGCAAAATTCGTCGTAAACTGGTGCGGGAAATGTTCAATTCTTGGGAACGATGACGTGTTGACGTTGATGGATTTTCACGCACACTCGCAGCCACAGCATCGATACCTTCGGGTGTACGCACTGTACGAGCACGCTGACGTGTTGGAGCATCAACAATGAAACCAGTTTCACGCACTTTATTAATAAACTTGCGTATACCGGGCGCTGTTGGTGCTTCGTTGCGACCGAATTTTGAACGGCATTTTCGTGCAATTTCTGCCCAATTGTCTTTGTTTTGGAAATAAATTTCCAATATTACCCAACGTTGCTCAAGCGTAAATCGATTCATTTCGTTCAGCGGAGATAATATACTGAATTTTATGACAAGTCAGATTGACATAAGTATTGTCAGCGTCAAATTAACACGTGGTTCAAATCGAAACCGATAGATGGCCCACCCTATATATTACTTTCGATACTTTCAGAATATCTCTTGTTGATCTAATACATTAATGAATAATGTCCATAATGATGTAATAATAAAGACAACGTTTTAATCTAGTCTTCTTTCCTTTTGAATTAATTCATGCTTGATTATTTTTCTTTTAATATTATTGATAAAGTAGTACATTGTTATATTATGTACTTCATTGCAGCAGCACTGTATTGATTACAGCGTTTGACTAAAATAGGCGACTGCAGTAACGAAGCTAATGTGGTTGTTAAGGTGTTTGACTGAAATGTTTCAGTCATTTCAGGGAATGACTGAAATGCATAGTTAAACGTTGTAATAATCAAACTGTTACGGTGTTTTCAGGCAATACGGGGATTCACTAGGCATTTCAGGGAATGACGGATTTCAGCGTTTGACGCCGACATATACATCACGTAAGATACACCATTGTGTAAGCGTATAGAATTGTAATTATATACGACTTGATATTCATGTAGATAATGTATACAATAAAAAATAATAGTTCGCTTGCAACTATGCAACTCCTGTAAAGGCGATTTTGAATAATGTGAATAATCCAAAAATGTGTATATAGGGTGTTTCAGTTTATTGTTGCATAACTTTAAGATTCGATAGAACTTTCTTTTAAAATTAATGCATAAAGTCTATATAAACATGGGTCGAAAAATACGTGGCTTCCGAAATACAGGGTGTTTAGACTTACTTTTTAAAATAGTTTTTTTTAAATATTTCGAACAATGTTTGATGTATAACAGTGAAAATTGGTATACAATGGTTTTTTGGTACGAAAAAACGAACCCTGGGCATGGTTTCACTGTAGCCGCTAGAGGGCGCTCTCTACTGTACCTGTAATGTATTAAAATGACCGAAAATTTTTTCTTAGTGCAATTTTTTGCATTTTCAATAAAAAAACTGATTCTTCGCACTTTTTTGCATAGAAAAGCTCTCATGTGAGCTTTCGTTATAGTTAGCCGTTTTTGAGATATTTCGATTTTTAGGGTTCGATGCATTTTTTATTATTTATGGGAAGATAATATTTTTTTTACATTTTCGATTTGGGCATTACAAGTAATTAAGATGATCGTTTAGATTGTGTGTTTAAACACAGCAATAATTCCTAACTCCAAATAAACACAAAAAAACAGAATATTAATTTGTTCAATTTTCCAATATTATTTTTAACAAATTAAATTAATTATTTACAACTAAAATGCTATTGGATAGTTAGGACAAACATACAAAATCTAAAGTAGTTGCTCGAAATGTGAGGTCTTAAGTCAAATGATTCACGAACCCGTTGTACTACATTAACAAAGGCACAAGGGGTTGGTTGCACTCGATTGGGAAACCGATCCGCATAAACATGTGCCATTTTTTATTTCGTTTGAGCCACGCAACAGACACCACTATTCACTACCGACTGACACTGACTGTATACAACTGAATGAAATAATCGTTCCAAATTCTTTCGCTTTTTTGTTTCCGATGCGATGAACCGATAAGGCGGATTATATCCGTTGTCGCCAAACACGAGCACATAATATTATTATTGAGACAGGGCGGTACTCAAACTTCCAAAGGGCTATAACTTTGTTACTTTAATTTTACCAGAAAAATGGTAAAGGAAAAAAACATTTCTTTTGATCAGATCTACTCACTGTTAAAATAAATGACTCAACTTCGAAGTTATATATATATATATATATATATATATATATATATATATATATATTTATATAACAAAAAATAGGAAAATAATGAGAGAAAATTTCTCTTTGTAGATCCTTTGGGCTTGAAGTACCACAGCAAGTGGCTATAACCGGCCGCGTGGTTGTGGTTAGATGACGCCTTGAAAATTCGAGGTCTTCTACCCATTTTATCCTACAATGTGTAGGTTGGCTTTTATGGTGGACTTCGTGTGTCATTTTTCTTTCCCTTCCATCTCTTTTTCCTCAGGTTACACCCGTATCCGGATGTATGGGCATGTGTATCTACTTTTGTAGTTGCATAAATATGTGCATTTATTTAGGGCCTGATGAAGCCAACCAGCAGAAATACGTATCGCTCGGGTTACCTACCCTATTTTCTGCTCAAATTCACTTTCCTTGTTTCTGTGGATTTTGCCCATTATTTTTCTATTTGTTATACACATATATCTATCATTTAGATAAGTGAGAAACGTTTGAAAAGGAAAATACAGTCCGAAAGCAAAATTCGACCATTTGACTGATTTCATCCAGCGTCGGTATCTTCAATGTTTCGATTGGCGGGGCCGTTATAGGTCAAGCATTTTAGAATGGTAAAAAACACGCCGATAGCGGCATATTACGGTCTAATCAAAGTTAAGCAATCTTTTAAGCGGCATTCAGTT